ATTATGGGGTCGTAAGGTAAGGTGTCTTTATCAGTTAAGTATCCTCAGATCTATTGCTGAGCTTGTGTTTGTAGTTGTGGGAATAATCTTCGCTTAACTATAACCAATGAATGAGTTTATTTATTTCTGCTTGGAAGAAAATCTTCTCAAATTACCTAATGAAAAATTCAGATAGCATGTAATTAAGTTAGTATATTGCATAACCATCAACACGTGCAGACATATATTTACAAATTAGACAAATCCTTCCAAATAAACGAGGTTCAGAACTAAAATAATGACAAAGCACCATCGTGGACAGTGAGATTTAGCCCTCACTCATTTCGCTGCCTGCGTTCAATAGTATAGATGGTCTTACGTACCTATTTGGTGTTGGGGTAAAAAAATAATAATAATAACAACAAAGTTTAGAAGTTTATGAATACACATTTTTGTGGAAGATTGGTGCAATTAAATATAAACATACAACTCACACTTCATGAGAATGCATGATCAAATCACGTTGTTGACAATGTGAAAACTTCACTTGTTAATGATAAGTAATTAATTTATAAAGACTTTTAATTTATTTGTTAACGTTTTTTAGGTATAATTTTGACCACCCAGTAATCTTATTATCCAACTCGCCCAAATGAGCTTTTTCTTTTGAAAAATTATATATAAGCTTTGTAAAGTAAACTTATTTGCAGATAAGTCTCACAAAATTCAAAAACCACAATTAGGTCTCTTGAGATCTAAGTATAATTTAAAATTTAGATAAAAAGAAAATAATGTTTCTATTAAATATATATACATTACATCAGTTAAATAATTTAAAATTACTTCATTAGCATTTTACTATTATATATAACTTTATTTTTTTACAATTATAACTTTATATATTCAATGATTAAACTGATCAGTTTAATTATTTAATATGTAAAATTACAGTTGTAAAAAGTTAATATTGTATTTGTAAATTGTTGATAAAGAATTCTAAATAATTAATATTAAAATTTATTAATAACATATGATCATTTAACTATTGGATATATGATGGCAATTTATTAATAAAATAAAAAATAGATATTTTTTAATATATAATATTTAAGAATATAATAAAATATTGAATATTAATATAAATTAATAGAAAATTATTTAAAATTCTTAATATTAATTCTAATTATTGATATGTAGAATTAATACACTATGATTTGAATTTCATTTGAATCCATAGTAAAAATATTGAGTCTCATTTTCTATGTATAAGAATTAAGTGGAAAAAAAATGATAAGCAAAAGAAAGCGTTTACCCCAAAATTGGTTAATTAATCATCCTGTTTTGAAGCGAACTCAAAAGACCAATCTTATTAAGTTTTCACTATCATTTGTATAAATTACCATAGATGTATTACCATAAGGGGAAATTGCTAAAAAATACGTGAATGGTTAGAAACACCAAGATACGCAAAGGATTAGTAATGGAGATTATGTAAATTCTCCAAAAGAGCATTTCTACATAATATAAAAAGAATACAAATTGGGGCTTTAAGTTGGTAGAAAAAATCAGGCTACTCCCCACAATTTCGATCCAGAGTATGCTCCTATCCACTGATTAAATAAATAACTATCAAAAATGAAATAATCCTTTAATTTTTTTAAGTCCCTTTTTGTTTTGCACATAAAAAAAGAAAAATAGGAACGAAAAAATACAAAAGAATAGAATACAATTAAAAAAAAAGAAGGATCCCTTTAAGATTCTTTCTTATATCCATATTTATAGAAATACAATTTATGTCATAATTCATAAATTATTGTCTAATTTTTTTACGTAATCAAAAATAACGGGTTATTGAAAATTCTAAAGAAGTATTTTATTGTATTGAAGAATTCAATTATTACTCAACAAATTCAAATTATTAAGGGATGAGATCAATTCAGAAGTACCTTTTTATATTTATTATTATAACAGACAGAATTCAATTGGTCTAATTCAGGACCATCTAATGGATTTGAATCCTATCTATCTTAGGGATATATCAAGATAAATAATCGGCCTGGTCCCTTAGATTTATTTATGGCCTTCGAGGAGCCGTATGAGGTAAAAATCTCATGGATGATTCTGTAATAGCGATGGGAACAGTAATATTATCACCGACTAAGATTATCTAACAGTTTAAGTACAATTGATATAGTTGACGTGCAATCAAAACATGGTTTTTAGGGATGGAATTTATGGCATCAACCTATAAGTTTTCTTATTTTTCTAATTTCTTCCCTTGCAGAATGTGAAAGATTACCTTTTGATTTACCAAAAGTAGAAGAAGAATTAGTAGCAGGTTATCAAATCGAATATTCAAGTATCAAATTTGGTTTATTTTACGTTGCTTCCTTTTTAAACTTTTTAGTTTCTTAATTATTTGTAACAGTTCTTTACTTGGGCAGTTGGAATATCTCTATGCCGTACATATTTGTTTCTGAGCTTTTTGAAATAAATAAAATGTGTGGAGTTTTTGGAACTACAATTGGTATATTTATTACTTTAGCTAAAACTTATTTGTTCTTGTTCCCCTCTATCACAACAAGATGGACTTTGCCTAGGCTAAGAATGGATCAATTATCAAATCTTGGATGGAAATTTCTTTTACCTATTTCTTTGGGTAATCTATTATTAACAACTTCGTTTTAACTGTTTTCACTGTAAAAGATTGATATTCTATATTCATAACTTGTCTCAAACAAGAGAAAGAAACAAAACAAAAATATTCATAAATATTCACGATATGTTCCTTATGGTAATTGGGTTCATGAATTATGGTCAACAAACAGTATGAGCTGCAAGGTACATTGGTCAAAGTTTCATTATTACCTTAGCCCACACAAATCATTTACCTGTAACTATTCAATATCCTTATGAAAAATTAATAACATCGGAACGTTTCTGCGGTCGAATCCATTTTGAATTTGATAAGTGCATTGCTTGTGAAGTATGCGTTCGTGTATGTCCTATAGATCTACCCGTTGTTGATTGGAAACTGGAAACTGATATTCAAAAGAAACGATTGCTTAATTACAATATTGATTTTGAGATCTGTATATTTTGTGGTAAGTGTGTTGAGTATTGTCCAACAAATTGTTTATCAATGACTGAAGAATATGAACTTTTGACTTATGATCGTCACGAATTGAATTATAATCAAATTGCTTTGGGCCATTTACCAATGTCAGTAGTTGACGATTATACAATTCGAACAATTCAATTCAAATAAAATTCTTTATTTATTTAAAAGATTTATATGATTTTATTAATATAGTTTATAGTTTCAAAACTGTTTCGAACTACTCGTTCGTATTGCAGTTATAAAAAGTTAAAATTTTAATTGTAAATTGCTGATAAAATAATTATAAATTAATTATTCAATTGATGTAATATATGGCCAACAGGGATATTATTATCTTTACAGCCTAATTTTAAATTATACCTAAGTCTCAAGGGACCTGGCTATAGTTTCTAAATTTCTCAAGATTTATTGGTAAATAAGTCTGCTCCACAAGATTTATACATAATTTTCTCTTCCTTTTTTTTTTTGAGAGGGAGACAGAGATTGTTAAATTAATGTCAGTCCTTCACAATATCCGGAAAGATAATTAAATTAATGTTCAATTACTAATCAAGAATGACGATTTAACCGATATACTGCTAAATTGCAATTAAATAATGCACTTACTTAAGTGTCAGTACTCGACTTTTAGAAAATCCGCCAAATAATCAACTCGCGGCTCCCGCCGTCCAACAAACATGACAAACCCTGCCCTACATAAATTATCATCAACTCATTGAATAAGTGATGAAATGATCTCATAAATTCTTTAATCACATTTCCATGCCATGAGAAACAAATCCTTTAATTTCTAATTAAATTATCACCAGTTTTTTTGTATTTTTTTGGATCTCGGAATTATGGAATGACTTATATATATCAAGTATATATATGCTTTAATACGGGCGAATATAAGAACTACTCAATCATCATCGCAAACAATTTTCCATCTGAAGACCATTTAAAAAGGAAAAAAAAACTACTCTCAAATACTTTAATCATCTTTCCATACCACGAGAATCGCAAAATGCAGCAAAGTTGGGAGAGCATAAAAAAATATATCATGTACACACACCACGCACAAATGTATACAAAGCTGGGTACGCATCATACAGGAGATTTGAAGAAGAAGTAATGTGGTCTGGCGATGGTGATGCCGAACACTACGACGATGTTGGTGGGACATGTTTTATGCAATTCTATCGTAATGTGTACGTGTATACGTACTTGCCACGACAATCAACAAAAGAGGTGTGACTTTTATTTGACTTCCTCCTCTTACTGCAACCCAGTGGGAAGGCGAGCATCATTGGAACGCACAGATTCACTCCCACTTTTGGGATGATGGACGGTGCAGTGGCCCCACCGTCTCCCTTGTCTGGGCCCCACCCCATGACACAGGGACAGACACCGGTATCACGGACGGTCCTATCAACTTGCATCGGGAAAAGAGATACACATTCACTGGCCCCACAATTACAGAACAGTAGACATTCTCTCTCCATCTTTGTGTGCATGTGTTTGAGGACGTTGCTCTGACCCCTGTGCCCCTGCCCTAATCTCTTCATCGCATGCTAAAAAAGGAGTCTTCACTGTAATTATGGCTTAATCATTCTAGACCAGGTAAAAGCTCTCATAAAGGTAACGCCCTTTTTCTGTCAACCCCACCATCATTTTAACCAAGCACACAGCCCCACAATCCCCAACTAGGTGGCACAACATATTATAAGATGCATCTGGGCTATGGGGTGTTTGTGTCATTTCATTCGCGTCTGTGCAAAGGCTTAGCCTATTTTATGTATTTATATATACGAGCCTTTTCATCAAAATAAAAAGACAAAAAAATTTGAATGAAGTTTGTGCCCCCAATTCCTTGTTTACTATGCAAAAGGCAATAGCATAGTTTTTCACTCCGTCACACACACTCTTCCACAGATGTGTGCTGGTGTCGTGTCTGCTTGTGTGTGTCTGTGTGTCACAGAGAGAGATAGAGAGAGATGCGTGGAGTGACACATCAAAATATATGGCTGACCTTGTTTGAGGGATGCCAGCCAGTGAGACGAGATAGAGACTATGCATACAGGAGCGTAAAAGGCATATTAAGAGAGAGTGAGTGAGCCAAGAGAGAGAAGCTAAAAAGAGAGCTCGGATATATTATCTAGGTAGCCAGATATGGGTGTGTTTGATTCTATCCCGTGGAAATCAAACAAACAAGACACCAGATCACCAGCTGGAAGAGTCCGCATCAGCTCTCTGCATTAGTATATAGTTTTCCTTGCGATTCTCGTTTATGGCTTTTACTTGAGTTTGGCAGAAACAAAGCCAGCCACCTCTTGCAGATTTCGGTACCATCCAAAACAATTTATGTTGATTTGGATTTTACTTATCCAATTCCTTTGTTTTGTTCCTAGTACTGTCTAAGACCCTTTGAAAGTTAGCTGCTTGCTTCTGGTCCTCAGGTCTCACTGCGTCGCTACGTAGCTGCTATAAACCTTCCAACATACGCAAATGATGTCCGGTGACCCTTTCTCCTTATCCACTACCATCGGAGGTTTTGCTCCTCAACAAAGCCCAAACCCTAACCCTAAACCTATTCCAAAGAAGAAGAGGAATCTCCCAGGAACACCGGGTAGTAATCACATCATTCTTCTTTTCTTTTAATTTCTCATTTCGTCATATTTCTTTTTCAAATGGAATTGGAATTTGAGAGCAGATCCAGATGCGGAGGTCATCGCACTTTCACCGAAAACTCTCATGGCCACCAACAGGTTCATTTGCGAAATATGCAACAAAGGGTTTCAGAGAGATCAGAACCTTCAGCTCCACCGGAGGGGTCACAACCTGCCATGGAAGTTACGACAGAGGTCCAACAAAGAAGTTCGAAAGAAGGTTTACATCTGTCCGGAGAAGACATGCGTCCACCATGACCCATCCAGAGCACTCGGAGACCTCACTGGCATAAAGAAGCATTTTAGCAGAAAACATGGCGAGAAGAAGTGGAAGTGTGACAAGTGTTCCAAGAAATATGCAGTCCAATCTGACTGGAAAGCTCACACCAAGACTTGTGGAACAAGAGAATACAAGTGTGATTGTGGGAACCTATTCTCCAGGTATATATTTTTTCCTTATAATTCGTATTTTTTCTCTTTAACGAAAGGAGGTGAAAGTAAGGAAGTGGCCATGTCACTTCAATTTTAAGACTCAGACGGAAGACATGTGATATCAAGTCTTCGCGCAGTCTTTGTTCGTCGACGAAAAAATCAATTAAATGCTTCAGTCCCCTGTTTCATGGCATTAAATTGGCAAATGATCAGCTTTTAATGAGCGGTTTCCCTGAATGTTGAACATGAACAGAAAAGACAGCTTCATCACACACAGAGCTTTCTGCGACGCCTTAGCAGAAGAGAGTGCGAGGCTCACCTCAGTCTCCCCGACAAATCTGAATTTCAAGAACGAAGGGAATACGATGAGCTCACAACATAGTCTGGCACTCGAAAACAACGCAGAAGTAATTTCTCAATTTGGCTCGCACGGATTTCGCCCAGATTTCAATGGAATGGGGATGGGCGGGAACTCAGCATGTGCGGACCAGCAAAGGGCAAGCTTGTCAATGTGGCTGAACCAGGGAAACAATGGTCTGGATGTGGGAGGGCTTTACGGGTCTTCTAGTTGTTCTTCGGGTTTGGGTGATCACATGGCACAAATGACGACCCAAGCTAATAACAACGCTTTTGGGTCTTGTAATTTTGGAATGCCAGCTTCGAGTTCAACAAACGCAGGACTTTTAGTATCCAGTGGGAGAAGAGGAGAAGCCATGTCAAAACCAGCCTCTCCCATGTCAGCGACTGCTCTACTTCAGAAGGCAGCTCAGATGGGTTCCACCAGAAGCAGCAACAACAATCCCTCTATTTTCAGTGGCACTCTAGGAGTGATGACCTCGTCTTCTTCCCATACGACGACGACTAATCTCAGTGATAACAACGCCAACAAGCACCGGAATTTCAGTTCAACTAGCAGTGCTGAGCCTGTGTTAGCAGATAACAACTTTAGCTCGTTCACTCATACAACGAACACTAATCTTGACCAACTCGTGACGCAGACCAGAACAAAGCAGAGTCAGGAGCAACACGTGCAATTGAAGCTTTACCCAGGTGGTTCGTCGGAACATAATTTAACAAGAGATTTTCTTGGCATGGGCGGTAGTGGTGCAGGAGGAGCCGGGAATCCTCCTCCATTTCTACCCCAAGAGCTGGTAAAGTTTGCGTCCATCGGCTCACCCATGGGTTTAACCCAATTCACCGCCAACCATTGAAGTTGTTTATCTGTGTTCTTACTGATGATAATTTAGCCAGCTAGGCAAGGCAGGCCCTCCATGTGTAAGTAAGACAAGGCAAGCTTGAAGGCTCATTGGGAAGTTCAAGATTCGACCAATGAGACACCCCTTGTGCCAGGGCCCACTGCATGTCTGAGGTAACCCGAGGAGCAGCGAACTCCGAGTCATCATCATCATGCATGTTCTCCTAATTGTAGCTGTTGTCGTTGTTGTTTTCGCTTTCTTGTAATTGTTTTGTCTTCCGTCTTAGCCTTGTATCGTGTTCGCATTCTCTTTCTTCGAAACCAGTGGAGTTGTGGATAAAATTAAAAGAAGAATATTTCACCCAAAAAGACATTGAGAGAGAGAGAGAGAGAGGAGAGAGCACGGAGCACCGAGCACAAAGCACCATATCCAGTTGACCGTCTGTTACGACGAGGGGTTAGGAATGTAGAATGTTGTTGGTCCCGAGTCCCGACGACCCAACCTAACTTGCCTGCGTTCAGATATGTATCGACCTTCAACTTTTAATAAATATGAGGGAGGGGATTAATAATCTCACGAGGCGAAACTTCGTACGTCTCAACTTGTTCGGTGCTTATCCAGGGAAAATGACACTTTAATTAGACTAAAAATAGATCATGACATTTTATAGCTGCAAAATTGAAGTGTTCATTAATAAAAAACGTTGGTCCTTGTCTGGCATAGAATAGATAGAAACAATTATTAATCAAAATGCCCCGATTCGCACCAATATATATCTACATAGCTGTAAGAATTATCAATTTACATTCTACAGCTGCAGGTTTCAGAAGCTAAGTTGTAAAAAGAATATGCACACAACTCATAAATTTTAGCATCTACGCAAGTAACAGTTGAGTTTTTTTTTTTTAACAACTATTATTCGATATACTGGAAGCTAAGTTAAAAGAGCATCACAAATGCCACAAGCTAAGTTGAAAAAACAAAGTATAGAAATTAAAAATCCTGTAAGTTTAGTTTAAAGTTTTCTTAATTAATCAATTTTTTTAAAAAAAAAAGAAAAGAAAAGAAACTGCTTTTGAGAACAGTCCTTTACAGTCGAACTTCTATGATTTTTAATTTGTATATATCGATCATTTCTCCAATTTAACTTTTGACAACGTTTGTCTTTTTGTCAAAGGTCAAAAAATGTCAAGAGTTAAACAGGAGAAAAGGCGGAAAAAAAAAAATCTGAAGAGAACCAGCATGAAAATTATTTAATTGAGAACGATTGTGACTGAATTTTCTAGATTTTTAACTTCTATAGACACGTTGGTTTTTTCAACTTAATTTCTGAAATTTTATAATATCCATTATGAGATGAAAATCCTAAAGAACCCCCCCCCCCAACTTTCACATCGACTGTCGGGAGACGTTTTAATTTACCGATATTTATCTCGGCGGGTAAAATCTAAGTGCTGGCTAGCTGGGGTTGCTTTTATTTTGGTACGCCTCGATTCTTTTGGAAGGGAGACGAATTAATTAGATGTCTAGAAATTGAAGGAGGGATGAACATTTCCAATTAATCCACGATATATACCGTTGAGGAGGCCTTTAATTGGTCAAATGTGTTAGCTAGCTAGCTAATTGCTGGCAGGCCTGTGATTAAAATCAATTAAGCTTGTTTAAAGCTTTGCATTACAGCATTAGCACGTTGGGTCAAACCTCTACATTTGACTCGCTGCGCAATTTAATTTTTCATCACAGTTCTGTGTGGCTTTTCTGCATAGCAACTGCCAAGCACGCCGCTTTACTGACATGCAATTTAGACGTCTAAAATTGACGGGATAACTAAGTCCTTCAAGTTTTAAAAGTGTTTATAAAATCAATATTAATTATATCTAATATTTGGTTTTTTTTGAACTGCAAAGGTGAGCAAAAGCTTGAAAAGAAAATAAAAAAACTAATTAGAATCGCCCTTGTCTAACAATAAGATATCAAAACAGCTTGATAGATAATGCCATATTAGCATAATGTCTTCACCCACATCATGAGCATTTTTTGCTAAGTAGTCAGCACATTCTAAAAAATCTTTTGAAGTTTGGCTCATGATGAGATCCCAATCACTATATATCAACTCTCGAGTTTGAAGCTGTATTTTTAGAGATAGGATTATTGTAGCCATCTCTAAAAAGCATGCTCAACACTTCCAATGACTCAAAGAACATTTGATCTTTTGGAAATTTTGTTGTTTACATATCTAAACCAGTTTGCATGGCCAACATTTCAGTAGCTGTGACAAGTATACTCCCTAGCTCACACTTGAACCCAAGAATCCAATCTCCATGTTCATTTTTTAGAACTCCCCCACATGAAGCATATCCTTGTTGATTGACAGAGACATCCATATCCACACATATGTAGCCATTTGGTGGAGGTTTCCATCTCATAGTAGAATCAGAAAGATCTTGAAATATCATATGTTTGAAGTTATGACTGCTAGAGCCTTCCATGAGAAGGTAAAGGCCTTGATGAATCACTTATTGAGTTGTGCTATAAATACCTTCAAGGAATCTTTTACACTGATTTTTCCACAAGAGCCATTAAATAGTACCAAAGATCTTGATCCAAGGCCATTTGTGATATTGATGGATTTTTAGTTTGTAAGTGCTATTCCATCTTAGCCAAACCTGCAAATCAATAAAGAAAAAGACAAAATAATAATTAGGAAAAATAATTCCTTTGGCAATTCACAATTTTGAAGTATGTGATAGTGATCTCTTCACAGGCACACTCAAAAGGGCACTCATTGTTGATGGATAGGCCATATCATGCCTTGAGTGAATTGGCAAGTAATCTCTTGTGAGTGATTTGTCAAAAGAAAAACTTCATTTTTTTTCAGAAACGGGCCATTTTCAAATCTTCCTCCATAAAAGTTCTGTGAGATTTAACTTTAGGATTGTATAAACTTGTAGGCAGCTTTGACACTAAAGACCCCATCATTCATAGAGCTCTAATAGAAATGATCAATCTCGTATCCACTTAGAGGTTTGGTCTATTTAATTTTCTCAATCACCCATCGCGAAAGAACATTAAGCCAATTATTGACATTCCATTGATTGTTAGGTAGTAGCTGCTGACTAACTAATTCTGATTGATTGATTCTTGAAAAATCTCCATTAACATAGTAAATAAGTGGTTGCTCAAGAGATGACCACTTTTCCTTAAAAAAAAAATTATGTTGTGACTGCTTTTGATTCTTTTTCCTATACCTTTCATAAAATTCTCCCAAGTTTTTGTAATGGCTTGCCAGATCATAGAGGAGCATTGTTTGTGAGAAATAATTGGATATTTGTCATCACCATTGCTGTACTTCTTCCTCAAGCATTGAACTCATAAGGCATCTAGTTTGGTCATCAATCCCCAACATAGTTTCATAATAAAGGCAATGTTTTGTTGTTCAAGATCTTTTATCCCTAAACATTCTAAATCTTTGGTTCGCTTCATAGTTTTCTAAGAAATCAAGTGTATCTTCCTTTTGTCAATCTCTTGACTCTAAAGAAAACTTCTACAAATTTTTTCAATCTCTATGAGAATCCCTATAGGAAGTAGCATGTTTTGCATTAAATAGATGAGAATGGCTGCTGATACAACTTTGATGAGTACAGTTCTTCCCACCATGCTTAGATAATTATGCTTCTAAGAGGAGCCGCCAAAGGAGTAAAGATCAGTTTAGAAATGTGAGTGTGCATAAGTGGCACGCCTAGATATAGTACACTCTGTCTAAGTCCATCAACTTACAAATTTTCAAAGGAGATGAGATCATTCACTTGGGTTTTTGGCATTATGGTTTAATCTTGGTTTAATTTGTTCTGTTTTTCCTTTCCTTGCTTTTTTTTTTCCTAAAAAAAAACTTCCAGACATAGCACCCAAAAAAAAAGTGAACTAAATGAAAAATATGATTAAAAAAATGAAAGAATAATAAACAACACGGCCTGACCAGTGAATAATTCTACTCTATATGAAATTTGTCATTGTTATTAAATCACCGTGCAAGACTAAGAATATACACATGATTGCTACAGGCCTACAACACGCACATACACACGTATATATGAGCATGGCACATGCCGGCCAATGATACCGTATACACGTGTGTGGGTGGGGCATAAGCCGCACGGCAGGAACCCCTGCCCATGTGAAACATGCATGGTTCACAGCTTCTACTTCCTACGTCTGCATGACATCACCTAATCAATCATCAAACCCTCCATGATTTTTCACAGGAAAAAAAAAATCTCCGTAATTATAGATTGGCTCAGGTCAGTGTGAAATTCCAGTCGGCAACTTACCACGTAAGTGGTTGCATTGCATTTTAATAGGAGTATGTAGTAAACACGAGGCAGAAGGACGTCAAATTTCTCAGTATAGCATGTGTCCATATATACAGTAGCCCTAAAATATGCCGCAATCAAAATTTTGTACTTCCTCCTTTCAAATTATAAGGTAACTTTGAAGAAATCTGATTATTTTAAAATATAAGATAATTTAAAATAAATAAATTTTTATTAATAATACTTTTCTAGCACTACCTTTCAAATGAAGATAAAGTTAAAATAATAATGCAGCATAGTAATTAAATCTGCAGGTGCATTTTTTGAATTTTATAGTTTTTTTAGTAAATTTAAAAAGTGTATTATATTTTGTTTGCGCGTGTATTTTATGATATGTAGGGAGTATTTACTAATCAACCAAAACCTGAATACAGAAAACTTGATGGCCCAAAAAAAAAAACCCCTTGGGCCTGCCTTGTTTGGACTATGGAGTTCCCATACAGCGTAGGAAGCAATTTCACAATTGACTACATTGTGGTGTACACAGCACGAAAAGAGCGTTTCAACCAAAAAAAAAAAAAAAACCTACCAATATTGATATTAATCAGTATTAATGTATAATGTATCTTTTTATAAATTATAAAAATTATATATATTCTTATTATGCACAGGCATCTTTTTATTATTATTATAAATAATCGTATTCAATATACTGTCAATGTAGACATTCCTTTTAATGAAAATTTGAGCATTAATTTGCTGCACTGTAAAGGAAATAGCCCCTTCCACTATATTCAAGCTTTATTGATGAAGTACATGTTATTATTTAGGTTCAATTTTGGTCTTTTAATTTCATACAGTATTTTATTTCAGCCCCTTAATGTTATAAAATGTTTTTAAGTCATTTAACATTAACATTTTTACTTTCATTGATAAAAAAAAATTATACATTAAACTTTTAAATATTAACAAAATGTTTGACATGTTAAGTTTGAATTTTTAAAATAACAATGATTAACATAAAACTAACCATTTTGAGGCTAATCATGTTATGGTTAGAGGACTTAAGATATATTTTATAGAATTAAAAAATTAAGTTAAAATCTTATACAAAATTAAAAGATTAAAGATACACTTTTACCTCTTATTCAAGGGACATGGGGTTTTTATTGGGGAAAAAAAAAACCCAATGATTCTTCGCTTCACCTGCTTCTGCTCTCGAGACACAAGTAGTGATTCTTCCTACAAAGCAACACCACAAACATGGCTCAAACTATAATGACACACTTGGTATGGTGAAAGTAATTTCAATGAAAATGAAAATTGATATAAGGTTTGAAAATATGTTTGGTATGTTTATGAAATTATGGTTTCATTTAAATGACCAAAATACCCTTCCTAGAAAACCACGCTAGCAAAACCATATATGTTATGAAAAATTTTGCCCTCCCCTAAACATCATCGCCGTCGATCAATTGTAGAAGTTTCAGCCACCATAACCAAATCCAATCAATGTTCAAAGAAAAAAAATTCAAAATAATAAAAAAAAAGTGTAGCTACTACCTTCAAAGTTAAGGTGAAAAAAAAAAATCAAAGTGACACGAGCAAGGGATTAGTTTGGTCTTCCCTTCAAGGGCTCTAACCCATGATAATCTAGTTGCTCTGTTGTCCATTTGCATGGCAGGCCACCTGAATGAGGAGAAATAATTGAAGAAGTTGAAACCCAAAAGTACTAAATAATTCAAGAAGGAAATGTTGATAAGAAGAATCGAATTTATAGAATGAACATCTTAAACAAAGAAGAAGAGTCAAAGAAGAATAGAGTGGACAAAGGGAGAGCCACCTTTGAGCTTTAGCCATAAAATCAGAGACTTTTGTGGCTATAAAAAAAAAAAAGGAAGAGTCAATGTTGATTTTTTACAATTAATGGAGGCCACTCTCTCAAAGTTGGAGGTCATTCACATTCACCATTTCAAAGCTAAAGGTCACTATTGCTAGGTATTGGAGGTTGCTAGCATTGGATGTTGGAAGTCATCAATGTCAAGAAGGTTGTTGACACTGATTGCCAGGCGTTGCGAAATTTGATAAAAAAAGTTAGGTATTGAAGGTCAAGAGAGAGAGATTAGAGGGAGGGGTAAAAAAAAAAGAAAAAAGGACAATAAAATTTGAAAGTTGAGATTTTTGTTAAATTTTGATGGAATTGAAATTGATAAATTTTACAGTTTGATCATATCAAACAAATATTTTTTTTCCAATTACATTATCGTCTCTATATTCCCACTACCCATTTCTATTACATCAAACGGGCCTGAAGTGAGTTCTTTTTTTATTGGAACTTCTATGGGCTGGGATTCAGGCCACTGAAAGCCCATCAAACATTTGGGCTTCCCCAACTTCCAATCCTACCCGTTCGCTGACATCTCAGCCCTGAAGAATTTCTCTCCAAAATTTCAAATTCGATCTTCTTGAAATCAAATTTTTTTTAAAAAAATCGATCTTCGAAGCGTGCCGAATCAATAAATTCTGGAAATAGCAACTTCACCATCTTTTATTCATTTTTTTAAAATTTCATTTCTGTAAAATTATTCACATTGACAGTTGTAAACTGTGAGAAGACAGAATGCGTTCTTACGAAAACAACGCTAATTAAATGTTTACTAAGAATAGAGGTACATTAATTTTTTTTTTAAAAAAAAACCTTCGACGTTTTCATCACTCCGCCTGTCTTATTTTATTATCGCTGCTTATTTCCAGGGCCAAGACAGCGTCACCTGGTATTGGGCAATATTGTCTCGTTTATGCACTCAAATTCTCGATGGCATTGCCTAGTTCAATCAATGGCTATAGAAAACTTTGCTCAATATTACAAATGTGATGACAAACTCCCTTGCTAAATAGATTCCAAAATAATTTTTTGTATCGTTTTTTAATTATATTATATTTTGATTTGAACCACGCTTAACATTTGATCCATATTTTTTATATACAAATTTTTTTTGCCTGGTGGGTTAATTTATCCATTTATATATTCATTTATATTATATTTAAAAATGAAAGTGATGACTAATAGAAGTTTTCTTCATGACGGGTTTCTATTGGATACTTCTGGGCGCTGCCACGGTGGCTGAAAGGACGGAATGGAAGTGTCAGGCTCATGATCCACGCGTAGATGTTTCATTGGATGAAGCTACGTGGGATGATGTGCAGGTCATAAGAGACTTCGATTCCAATTAATAAAGTTCCCTTTATTTATCATTTTGGGCTTACCTGTTTGTGAGCCTGCCATAGGCATTCTCTCGAGCCAGCCTCATCGATTTGCATCATCCGTCCCCTCTGAATTATTTTCAGGCATCTATCCACTCTCATGTGAGTAGCTACACGGGTTTGAGACTATAGAGTGAGATCCTAATGCTTAATCTCCTGGGTTTATCATCCACCATGGACGCGGTAGGGTGGAGAGGATTGCTCTACTCAATCTCCATTCTCAATTTTGTTTTGGTCTGCCAGCTCATTCTCCTTCAACCCCTGGTTTCCTGTTCAGGTATGCAATCCGATACTGTGATCTCTCTATTCTTCTATTTCCCCGTCATAATTTCGAAGTTCATTTTCCGATTTTCTCCCCGGGATGTCAAAATTTCATCCATTTCCTTTTCGTAGTCGCGGGTTTCTTTCTGTTGTTCGTTTATGTGATTTGTTTTGTTACTTTTAAGTTTTTATTTTTTAAATTTCCGGACTTTGAAGAAGAGATGCAGTATGAAACTTGTATGTGTAAATCAGAGCTGATCCTTAAACAGAAGCAATAAAGATGACGTCTGCTTGCTTTTGGAGAATTCTTAGATCATGGTCTAAAAAGTATAGATTTAGCGAAAGACAAGTGACAGCAATTGCTACTCTCTTAATGCGAATTTGGCCATTAAAAATTGAAATGCATTCGACAAAGTGCTTTTATGTCTACCAAAAAGACTCGCTTTTGTGAAGATATCATGTCTTCCCGTTGGGTTATGCAGGGAAAGGGTAAATCTACTGAATTTTAGCAATGCTTGCTGAATAAGCATCTGTTTACAGCGTCAAGTTCTCATGCTCCAACTTATGGCAATCTATTTTCATCACTAATTGCGTACTGTAAAATCTATTTTCACCTGTTCGTGACCATCATTACGGGAAGATGAATATTCAAGTTTCAGTTTGGTTTTACTGGCAAAATAATAGACAAGAGCTCTAAGACCACCTAACTAGTAGTCACATTGATATGCTTCTCAATCAGCCTCAGCACAAAGTGGAATCTTTTGGCGCAATTAATGTCATCATAGTAAATGTCTGACAGGATTATCTTAACGTCCTTCTACTTTTGGTGAATTGTAGCATTTTTGTTTTGATAGTCTCCATTTTTTATTTTTCTTCTGTTGTTTATTCTTGACCTTTGTCCATCAATCATATAACAGTCTATACTTTTTCACGTGTATCTGAATAGAGGGAAAACCTGGAAATGCTGCTGAGTTATTTGAGAGGGTGTCACAGAGTATAAAAGTTAAACGTTATACTGAGGCGCTTGATGATTTAAATGCTGCCATTGAAGCAGATCCAACCCTTTCAGAAGCATACCTTCGCCGTGCATCACTTCTTCGTCAAATATGCAGGTTTGTTTTATTTGCAAGTGTTTTATTACCTTCTTTGATTGTTCAAGCTTATTAGAAATATTAGTTGTTTGATTCTGGAAAGTTATCTTCTGAAAGTTATGAATAATATATATATAAATGATCTATGAGTTTTTAACATTGTAACTGGATTCTACCTTAAGCAAAATGAAGTAGTATCCAGAGGGGAAAATATTGTTGAGGCATCGCTGTGCTGTTTCTTGAGAACAATGCTGCTAGACAACTTTCTCAAATATCAAGTATATTTTCTATGTAGTATGCCTTCCGGTCCCATTTATAAGTCATTTCTATTAATCTCATGAATACCAATACAACAAAATTACAAGGAATAAAAGTAAGTAAAATTCCAAATATAACCCTCAAATAAAAAGTAAAAAGAAAGCAAATAATACAATATTATTATTATTTTTTGTCTTTCTCTTTCTTACTTTTCAAAGGTAATTTGGGAATTTCAATTTGGAACAAAACAATCCCATCAATTAGTGATTTATAAAGTGATTAATATATAGGACTGGAGGAGTAACTCTTTATACAATTTAATGCTTTAGTGTTGTCGAGTCATTACCTAATGTTGGTCAGATCAAACCAATTACTTTTTTTTCCCCAAAGGAATGAGGGGTGTTATATTAGAAAGTTTTTCGCATCAACTTTCCCTAAAATTTATTGAAGATTGAAAATTACAGAATGGGTGCATGGGAGTCTCTTGGTTCCATGGTGTTCGCCATGCAATTCTTTCCCCTCCCCTTCTCCCCATCTCTCTCCCAAACCCCTAATTGTAAAGCTATATGATTCAGGTGCTTTTTGGCTAATGTAGATACAAGGAATCTGAGGGGAGCTACAGAAAGTTTTTGGAGCTTAAACCTGGAAATTCAGCAGCGGAAAAGGAGCTCTCTCAATTGTTGCAGGCTCAAAGTGCTCTAGAAACAGCTCAGTCATTCTTTGATTCAGGCAACTTCTCAAAATCCTTGGAATACATCAATAAAATTGTACTTGTTTTTTCTCCTGAATGCTCGAAGGTACATATTTGCATTCTTCAATTTTTAAACATGTCAATGTATCAGTAGTTGCATTTGATATTTTGGAAGTAATTGGTCTGAAGTGTTGGGTGCAACCAGCATGTTAACTCTATAGGAATTGTTTGCTACAGGCTAAGCTTTTAAAAGTAAAGTTGTTGGTAGCTGATAAAGACTATGAAGGGGCCATTGCAGAGTCTGGATTCATTCTTAAGGAAGATGAGAATAATTTGGAGGCATTGTTGTTTCGGGGGCGTGCATACTATTATTTAGCTGATCATGATGTTGCCATGAGGTTTGTGTTGCGGCAAACGTTATTAAATTCTCATAATGTCTTTGTCGTTTTCTGTATAATGTATTGTGTTTGTTGGACATGTTCAGGCATTACCAGAAAGGCCTCCGCCTAGACCCTGAGCACAGTGAACTGAAAAAAGCATATTTTGGATTGAAAAATCTACTGAAAAAGAGTAAAAGTGTAAGCATGGATCCTTTTTGTTTTTTGCAAGTTTGCACTCATAGTTGATTCTTTTTCTCTTTTCTCTAGTTTGTGGCGCTGAAGAGCCATTGCTGTTTTTTGTTTGCTTCCTGCAGGCTGAAGATAATGTGAGTAAGGGTAAACTGCGTTTGGCTGTTGAGGAATTCAAAGCAGCACTGGCAGTTGATCCTAATCATCTTGCACATAATATACATCTTCATCTTGGTTTATGTAAAGTTCTGGTGAAGCTCGGTAGGGGAAAAGATGCTTTGGACAGTTGTGATGAAGTTCTTAAGATCAATGAGGAACTAGTTGAAGCTCTTGTTCAGGTTTGCTTTTGAGCCATTGTGCTTCTCCTTCATGCTGTCTTGTTCTCTCGTCAGATGCAATTAGATGAAATGTAGAATGCAATACATTTTTTCCGGTTACATGTTGTGTAGGCTGCACTTAGAACTTACTTGGTTGTTGTGTGTCTCAGAGGGGAGAAGCTAAACTTTTAACAGAGGATTGGGAGGGAGCAGTGCAAGATCTGAAATCAGCGGCTCAAAAATCTCCTCAGGTTTGTCTTCTAGTTTAAAATTATACCAATCACTGGTAAATTAGCAGGAATTGGAGATTATGAGAGTAATTTTTTTGGGCCATAGTTTCTGTGAGGAACGACTACACTGAAGTTGTATGCTTTTATTTTCCTCTGGGAGGAGCCTTATTTTTCTGCCACCCCGTTTTTCATTACCGTCAAACATGTTCTTTTGGGTCAATCAATCTATAACTATTTTTCTAAGCCCTTCTCCCGAGAAGGAAGTATCTTAAACTCTCTCCCTCTCTTGGATAATTAATTTAATTATCTAATATTAAAATTGAAACTGCATTTGTCATTCATAAATTATTTATTTATGACTAGTGTGAGAAGTAATGTTCGAGAGTCAGGAGTATTGTCTGATTAGTAACTGTGTTGATTATGTTAATTTGAGAACTCTGCTCTAAAGAACACCCCCTTGTAACCTTTTAGCTGCTTGTTTGTTATACAGGAAATGCTTGTTTATTTTATTTTATTTTTACATGTGTAGTACTTGTATATTTTGCCTATCATTGCAGGATACGAATATTCGTGAAGCTTTGATGAGGGCTGAGAAAGCTTTGAAGATAAGCAAGCGCAAAGATTACTACAAGATTCTGGGAATTTCAAAAATGTCTTCTATGGCTGAGATAAAACGTGCCTACAAGAAACTTGCTTTGCAATGGCACCCTGATAAGAACGTGGACAACAGGATGAAGCAGAGGCTAAATTCCGAGAAATTGCTGCTGCATATGAGGTCTTAATCATGAATACAATGACTCATGCTTCATTAATTATAGTACTTCTTCAATCTTTCTATGCTTCTCAAGTCTCTACATGTTAGATGTGATTGAGGGATTTGGGAGAAACTTGCCGTGATTGGGATGTGATTATTTTGGTTATAACTGATTGTTACAATATATCACAGGTTCTTAGTGACGAAGATAAACGTACCAGATATGACAGGGGGGAAGACATTGAAGACATGGGAATGGGTGGGGGAGGCGGAGGTTTCAACCCCTTTGGTGGTGGGGGCCAACAGTTCACCTTTCATTTTGAGGGAGGCTTCCCCGGTGGCTTCGGTGGAGGCTTTCCTGGCGGCGGCGGCGGCGGCTTTGAGTTTCATTTTTGATTGATGATCACGGAAAGCTGCGGGCATTCATTGAAGAGTCCAAAAATGATGTGACTAATTTCTAACGGTTGTTGAGATACTTAGTTAGGCCATCTGCGGAGGCTTGTAAGATAAGAAACGGGTTTAGAGATGATGTTGCGGGCAAAAAAAAAAAAAAGAGATGATGTCTGTAGAAAATTTTGTTTGGACCTGCTTTATGCAGAAAGTGATGTGCCTGGCAACCATAATTCATTTGGATTGAAATATTCTGTGTCTTTACCTACTTTTTTTAAAAAAAAAAAAAGTAAAAAGAAGAAAAATTCACGCCTTTTTTTACCTACCTGGTGGAAGGAATGGTGCCTGGATTACTCTTCAATTGAGTAACGTCCTAGCATGACTTGATGTGCATTTATCTTTTACGGTTTGACCAACCACGGTAGTGATTCGGGAAGAATGTTAATGAAAATTTTACATGATTTTCTGCTCTTGGATGCATCCGTGGGGAAATCCGACGACGGTTACCATTTTGATAGTAGAGGATTCCAAGTTTTTGTTTTTAACATTAGGGAGAATGGTAATTAAGGATCTCATAAAAAATTAATATTAGATCGAGATCTTATCATAAATTAAGTTCTTCAATTCAGTGCTTAACCTTCTGTATCATAACATTGAAAATCTTCAAAAAAAATTGTAATTTGATATTAAGCTTAACATTAATCACTCGTACTCTGAGCCAGTTCCTGCAGTTCTTTAATAAGTTTGCGTCCGTTTTGAGCACGAAGTTTCAGATTTTAGTATCACTAATACACGGGATCCTGAATCCCAAACAGCTAAAGACTCACTTTGAGGTGAAAACGAATGACGCGAAACTGAGGGACCCCAAGAATTACCACCGCAAATTGTAAGCAGCCATGGTAGTAAGCGCAACGATGAGGGCAACACCTTCCGCGGCTCGCCTGTCAAGACCCACGGCATCTGAAGTGTCAACTGTGGTATCCGAAGAGCCAGACGGAGCATCTGATGCCCGGACATTTTTCTCCGGCTTGGTCGGCGCCGGAGCCGGGGCTGCTGTTGGTGGTGGGCCAAAAAGTGCCAAAGGAAGCAGCACTTGATCCACCTGATACACCGCGAACTGCTTGTCCGTGTATATAGTATTAGCCACCGTTGCATTGACCACCCCCGTCGTTATGTTCACTTGGTTCCCTGAGGTGGTCACATTCAGAGGAAACTCTCCTTTGTCGCTGTTCCCAGCCTGCGTGCGTAAGGGGTTGCTGGCAGTCTGAAACTGAGACATAGTGTAGAGACTGGAAAGGACGTGGAACTGCACCAGCTGAAGTTGCTCTTGGGAATTGATGGAGTTCAAAGTTCCCGGTTTGAGATTTGTGAAGGCATTATCAGTGGGTGCGAAGATGGTGAGGCCTTGGTTCGAGTTGTTGAGCTGGTTGTTGATTGTATCAGCTACCTGGGTGGCTTTGAGTATCTTGATGAAGGTGGTGAACTGGCCTGCCTTTTCCAGGATTTTGGTGATGTTGGTGGGGCCTGCTGGTGCTGGAGCCAGCGCTGGTGTTTGAGCAGAAATGGACTGGAACATGAAGAAGAAGATGAAGACTTTTATGGAAAGCAGAGGAAGCATTGGCTTGGCCATTTCTGGGGAAAAAGCAAGAAGACGAATTTGTTGGAAGCGAAGGGAGGGGAATGTGTGGGGATATATAAGGAGAGTGAATGGCAACTGATTGGTAAAAGGTTAGGTGAGGAGTTGCGATTCACAGAAGGTGGCAAGAGAACCTCAAGCATGGACTTTTCTGTGTAAAGGCAAAACAATACGGGAAGGAAGACAAAGAAAGAATTGCTTTAGGAGGCAGGAAAAACAGCCGGATCGGCAATTGATTTGGGATTGAAATGTCAGTGGGGGGTGGGTGAAATGATGCTTCTGCTACTTTTTGCTTCTGTTTCAAGTTTGTTGACGTCAATGCTAGTTATCGCTTTTGAGTAGCGACAATTATTATCGTAAAAGGGACCATATGTTCTCTTTCACTAAGTTTTTTTTTTTGGCCCACTCTTCTTCTTCTCTACTATTAACCCAATTAACCACAAACTCAGGGTCCAAGCTCGCATTTTAGATTGTCTTTGCATGTTCAATGTACGTAGATATACATTTTACATAACAGTGACATTCACAAATTAGAACTGAGACAGTTTTATCCCTAGCTACCTCACTTTGCATATAGAGATCATGACGTGCCAATTAGTTCAGGTTTACCTCTTGGCTTTTCTCAGTTAGTTCAAGTCATTACTGCCATTACTCCAGCTACGTGTTAGCGCGCTGCATTTAAGGAATACCTAATTCTAAACAGGTCATCCTTTTCAGCCATAAACATACCAGATGCTGGTCAGTTCAAGGCTTCAGGCACAAATTAGCCAGCTACTTCTGAATGTGATAGGATATCCGTTGAGTAATGGCTTATTTAGTTATATCTTACTTTACTGAATCATTTATGATATTATCCCGCCAATGGTCTGGTACGTATGTCCTGCAAAATCTGGAGTGATCGTCCATGTACTTCAACTATCTACTGTTTCCTCTTCCATACTACTATTTTTTAATCTAATTACACCCTAATGAATTGATTAATTGTCTTTAGAGTTATATTCTTTTCATGTTTATCCAATTTAATAAGATGTCTTACTTAAAAAATCTTATGAATTACATGCTTATTTAAGGGTATTTTTTTTAAAAAATATCATTAATTTCACCTTTAATCTTTTTTAAAATGATACTTTGAAAAAAAATCTTTATAATATTGGTATTATTTATAAAATAATATTAATTTTTGTGGGCTATTTGCGCTTCACAAGCAGGCTGATATTACTGGGTTGAGGATCAACTCTTATTATTAGGCCCATATGGTTTAAGGACCTATCCTATAAGCCCAGCTCGTTAGGATAAGCCCAGCCCAAAATAGGCAAAGCCCGTGAAAGAAGGCACGGAAAATAAAGGATCGGCACCGTGAGATGCACCTGAATGCATAAAATCTTTACATGAAATGGGATGGGATTAGGGTAAAGAAGGGTGATGTGTCAAAACGACTGGAGATTGAAAGTTTGACCCCAAAAGAGCACGAAATGGTGAATGGATCTGAATGGAGCCCACGTGCCGTTGTAGTGCTTGCAAATAAGGTTCACCACTTTAGGCAGACCCATTAGCAATGGTTGCCGTCCGTTTCGTTGACCGTGGAGGACGGCGTTAATGTCAAATCCTCCGTCTTTTTTGTGAACACACACTCACTTGGCAGCAGCGTTTCCATGGGCCGAAATGTGTTTGATCTGAGAAGCCATTGAATACAACTTAGTGTCCTGGTATAAGCCGTAGGCGACGCCCGCCAAAGCACCCAGGAGCATTCGATTCAATGTTTTAAGGCTCTATTGTCATGATCCTATGTTCTCGTTCCTATCTTAATCGCCACCATGATCAACACTGCCAACGGTACCATGTCCCCCTCCTCGTCCGCCAACGCGCAAACCCCTGGCCTCAAGACTTATTTTAAGACACCGGAAGGTCGATATAAGCTTCACTACGAGAAGACTCATCCTTCCGGTCTCCTTCACTACGCTCATGGTAAAACCGTTACTCAGGTTAGCTCCTTCTATTTTCTTTTCTTTGTATTTGTTTTTCATTTTTCTCCCTTTCGAGAGGTGGCTGCTTCTCACTACGCTCATTTAGTACACTCTATCAGCTAACACCCTCCTTTCCAAAATTAGTGTTCGTCCCTAGGGTTTTCCTTCATGGTGAATTCGGACTATGTCATACAATCAATGCCAAGTTAAATCAAGTTTCTGATATCAACGGTGTCTTTATCTTCTAAATTTAACAGAAGACAATTTTTTGGAAATGCCGGTACTCTGGTTTGTATTAGTCCCATGTACTGGTATTCAGGCATTTGGAACTTAATTTGTTTACTATATCTGTATTAGTTCCACCGGTTATTCTATTGTCTGCCAGCTACTTCTGTAGCATCAATGTCAGTGACGGCCTATATCGTTCTAATATCATGGATTTTTTCCACGGGATGACGTGCTTTTTATTCTCAAGTCCATGGTTCTCCCATTACTGTTGAATCCATGTACAATCTAGTGTTGATTTGATGGCATCATCAGGTAACTTTGGCACATCTCAAGGACAAGCCAACGCCTTCAACACCAACTGGTCTATCGTCAAGTTTCAGTGCCACTAGTGGTGTAAGGTCTGCGGCTGCTAAATTGTTGGGTGGAGGCAATGGAAGCCGAGCGCTTAGCTTTGTAGGAGGGAATGGTAGCAGCAAGAATGCTGGAATAAACAGTAGAATTGGTTCCCTTGGTGCCTCAAGTACTAGTAATTCGATGCTTATTTCAAATTTTGATGGAAAAGGAACTTACTTGATCTTTAATGTTGGTGATGCAATTTTCATAAGTGATCTGAATTCTCAGGACAAGGTATACTGTTTGAATTTTGATGGATTCGGAGTATTTTGGGTTTTGGTTTATGAGGCTTTTCATTGAACGTAGGACCCAGTGAAGTCTATTCACTTCAGCAATTCCAATCCCGTGTGCCATGCATTTGATCCAGATGCTAAAGATGGGCATGATTTACTCATTGGTTTGAGCAGCGGTGATGGTAATAAATGTTCATGAGACTCAATTTTTCCTTCTGTAATGAAAATTTGAACTTTATGAATTTATTGGTCCTGCGTGTATTTTTGTAGTCTACTCCGTGTCATTGAGACAGCAATTACAGGATGTTGGTAAAAAGCTTGTTGGAGCCCAGCATTACAACAAAGATGGTTCTATCAATAACAGGCAAGATACAATCTCTTCTGATGTCTTCCCTACAAGTTTTAGTTGTTCTCGGGCATGATATATGCTAGTGTTCTTTTTGTTGTGCTAGTGCTGTACAAAAGGTCATGTGCACTGTTGGCTTTCATGGATGCTTGCTCTGGCATCCAAAGTGGGAACCCATTGAAGAAAGTTATTTGCTTAATGATTTGCTAACATACAGACACACAAACAAGAATAAGCAGTCACAAATTCTGATTTCTAAGGATTCTTCAAAGCAACAAACCACCATCTTTGTGAACTTCCTATTTCTTGCTCAAGTTGATTTTGTAAATTTTTAGGATAAATCACAAAAACAAAAGGCTGGAGGATATTATGCTCAGAAGGTCTGAATTTGATATTTTCTTTAGACTTTCACTGTGTGATTTGTGCCTAAATTTCATTGAATATTACCTACCCGAATTCATGATTTAGGCACAGATTGTACTATCTTTTGAATCAAGAAAAAACGTTTGGGCTTGTTACTGATTTATAATCCATATCTCCATGGCTAGCTGGCTACAAATGCATGAAGATGGCTATTTTGATGACTTCTATGATAAATTTCAATTACCCATCCTGCTGTTTTTTGGTCAACCCATTTTTCATTGATGGTTCAAACCGGTAGAAAGACTATTAGCTTGTGTGGTTAAGATGTGGGTATTTGATATAAGGATCATTTAGAGATCTTATGTAAAAGTTCACTTAAATTTTGGAAAGAGAGTAAGACGAAGTGTGGATTTGTGTTAGGGATCCACCTTTTTACTCCCCTCTCCAAAATTCTGCCAAAAATTTACAGTAAAGAAATTTAGAGATTCAGGGCTTGGCATTTGGGTAAAAGGTTATAGTGTGACTCTTGTACCGAAAAGGTAAGAAAAATATCCTGTACTTATTTCTTTCAGATTTCCCGCATATCCTGAGTTCTCCCTCAGAACATTGCCCTGAAACTAATAACACGAGAATATTTTTGTTATTTCTAAATGCCATGGGTACACATGCCATGAAGCACCATTTCCCCGTTATATCATTTGATGGTTGCATAGACTGTGACTTTGCTATCCAAGTGTTGTGTGGCATTCTTTAAGTCTGTTTCTAAAATGTTGATTTTACAGATATTTTCCTTTTTCAACATTTTGTAGGCATTAAAAATATTTTGCTAAATCTTCAGCGCTGTAGAATGCAGAGAACCCTGGATTCTCATTCATGCCCTTTGTATGCACTTGTGCTGTATTCACGGGTCTTGGTAGATTATGTGATTGGCAGGGCTTGATTTTGAATAACAGGGCCATCATGTAGAGACCATCATCCGTAGAAGAATATTTGATAAATATGAATTATCAAATATTGTATCAATCCATACAATTCATAGAGCATCTGATATTGAAGTTTGGAGCCAGATGCTTGATGGGCGTAGGCTGACTTTATTTTGTTGGATAATATCTTTTTGTGTTTTTCTTTTCTTGATCGCAAAGGTCTGTTTATCAAGGTTCAAATTCGTAGTGGTTTTCTTGGAATTTATTTTCGTAAGTTTTGTTTTCATGTTGAGCACTGCTCTTGTGATTGCAAGAATGAAGCCTCCAACGTTTTGTCTGTGTCATTGCGATAATGAACACAGCTTTAGGCATCTGATGTGGAATATATGCTAATACAAATTTTAGGATTGGACAATCCATTATCATGGTGTTGGAACCTTGCAATGATACGGGATTTTCAGGTTGTGCGGTTGTGCTGATTTGTGAATGTCTGTTATTATCTGCAGCATAAGATACTTATAATTTATGCTCTGGAGCATTTTCCAGTCTTACTTAGTCTGGGTACTTTCATATATTCATTTATCTTTGCAATTCTCTTGTATATTCTTTCTGTCAGCGTCTTTTTTAATCGACAGAAAATAATACTTTTAAATTTGAAGTTGAAGGGCAATTGGGAACAAGTA